CTTATTACAGCCCAGCTAAGTCACCCAAATACACACAAGCACCAGTGGGCTCCATGGCGTCTCTGAATTCACAGAAAAATATCTTGTATCCAGACTGAAATGGCAGGAAAATCTAGCACGTTCTCACCAAGCATGTGGAGCGCATCTATTTTACACACAAGCAAATAACCTACAGTGCATGGCTAGATATAAGGAGTCTGTATGATGTAAAAACACAATTCTTTTCTTGCCCATGTAGACAGTCCTTTCTTAATGATCACTGTGGATAATCCGTCCCACGATCACTTTTTCCACCCTAACATGGCCACAGCGTGCTCTGGGGCTCCCACGGACCGCTCTTCATGAATTAGAGACAGGACATGCAAATTAGGTTTAATAGTAGCTTAAGGCAATACTTGGAGAGAGATCAAGCCACGCAAAATGAACCAAATATTCCAAAGCTAAAATGAGAAAAATGATTACAAGACCATCTTCTGTTTTCGATTATACCAGTCATTGCTTGTTTCTACCAATGCCGCTAAGAGATGCCCAAGGCTCAGAGGTGGAGACAGAAATGAGCCTGCATGTTACAGTGAGATCAGTGACGGAGATGCGTGAGGCTCCCACAGAGCTGGCTCTCACCTCCTGAGGCACTTTAATGTGTCAAATTTTGAATGAACAAAGTCAGACTTAACATATGATAAGCATCACCTCAAATGGTTCAGACCAGAGGTGGAAAGGCCAGTTTAGAGACTAAAAAATAGTTCATGGGGGAGATGATTAAAAACAGTAAATTGAAGAAAAAAATAATCAGAAGGTAACTCTGAGTGTATTAATTAGTACATGCCAGTGTCACACAGATCCTGACGGCTACTGAGAGGCACAGAGCCATTTGCTTCAATAATAATAAAGAGCTCAGGCCGCTGGGCTATTTATATGAGGTTTTGATAAGTTTTTTGGGCTCTTCTTTTACTGATGCTCATACTTTTTATTGCTATCAGTGTATTCCTTTCCATAACAGGGTATGTGCTGAGAAACGATATCCCCATGTTTGTTATAATTATGTCCAAATTAAGAAAGAGCAAATAAAGGGGATCAAGAAGTACAAATTTCCAGTTAAAACAAATTAGTCACGGGGATGTAAAGTACAGCAGGGGGAATATACTAAATAGTACTGTATTAACTCTGTAAGGTGCTGGTGGTAACTAGACTTACTGTGATGGTTTCGCAATGTATAGAAGTGCTGAATCCATGATCCAGCAATCCAACTCCTGGGCATGTATCAGAGGGAACTCTGACTTGAAAAGATACATGCACCCCCATGTTCACAGCAGCACTATTTACAATAGCCAAGACGTGGAAGGAACCTAAATGTCCGTCGACAGATGACTGGATAAAGAAGATGCGGTGTAGTTATACAAAATGGAATGTTACTTAGCCATTAAAAAAAAAAAAGAATGAAATAATGCCATTTGCAACAACATGGGTGGACCTGGAGATTGTCATACTAAGTGAAGTAAGCCAGAAAGAGAAAGAAAAATACCACATGTTATCACTTACATGTGGAATCTAAAAAAAAAAAAAAGAAAAGACACAAATGAACTTATTTACAAAACAGAAACAGACTCACAGACATAGTAAACAAACTTATGTTTACCAGGGAGGAAGAAGGGGTGGGAAGGGATAAACTGGGAATTTGAGATTTGCAGATACTAACTACTATATATAAAATAGATAAACAACAAGGTCCTACTGTTTAGCACAGGGAACTATATTCAATACCTTGTAATAGCCTATAATGAAAAAGAATATGAAAAGGAATATAAATACACACACACACAACTGAATCACTATTCTGTACACCAGAAATGAACATATTATAAATCAACTATACTTCTGTTAAAAAAGGAAATGCCAAATCACTATGTTGCACAGCTGAAACTAACAATGTATGTCAGACATACAATGTATATAATTATAAATGTATTATAATGTATACAAGACAGCAATTAAAAAAAACCAAAATATGAATTAAATAAAATAAATAAATAAATAAGAAAGAGCAAATAGATTTTGGATAAGAATTCTAGGAACTCTTCCTCATGTCAAGAATACAGTGCATGAATTTTATAGCACAGATTTTACACCTGTTCTGACTTTCAGATGACATTTTGGTTTACATTCTCTTGGCTGTATTCCCAAGTGTTAGATACATGACCTCTAGAAAAAAATGAAGTCTCACTGTATATTTATAGGAGCTTTCTCCTATTATAGCTTTTAAAACAATGTTCTACATGTGATGTATACCTTCCTATAACTTTTTTCACAGCACAGTTTTACTGTCCCACAATGTTCACAAGTCAGAACGTATTTCATACAAAAGGGTATGGCCGGTTTGACTCCTGAAAATATCCCTTCTCCTTGATGACGACCAATGAAGCAAACGTGATCAAGACCAGGAACACAAGCCTTAGGAATACTGCCTTCCGGAGCATTAAAACCCAAATTTATCATCTGCTGACTTTAATGTGTTTCCTGAGCTTTGTCACCCGAGAGGTTAAGCTCTGGAAACAATATATTTCTCATCCGGGTTCACAGACATTCTATCAAAATGGCACAAGTTTCTCTGTGGCTTCTGTGAAAGACAGATGAGGGAATTCCTGGAACACGAGGCCAAGGCGGTGTGATGACCGTTCAGTTTGGGGGAGCAGAATTGGTGCTGATTTAAGGACACGTTATGACTATGGAAGAAAGCTGTTCTGAGGCCTGTGCGATTCCACTGCAGAAACCTTGAAAAGGGGGCAGCTGGGTTTCCAGATCAGTCCGTACATCATTAAGGGCTATGGAAACAGACCTTCAGGGGAGAGGTGCCAGCCACCCTTGGTTTTCTCATCCTCCGGTCCTCCCACTCATCTGACCACCGACTCCCCAGCCTGGGAGAAACACACCGCCCCTCCTCTCTGTCCTAGTCTGAGACTAATGACAGTTTCTGACAAAAGTTGAAGGCCAATTTGAACTGCCATACATTTTTGTTCCCCAGACTCCTCGTGGCTTAATTTTTACCCAACCTCTTCCCCGCACTTCTGTGCCAAAGCAGTCAGCAGTCCCTTTCCTCTCTCCCCCTCTCCCCATGCCTTTGACCCTGTCTCCTCTCCAGCTTCAGGGTCAGGCTCCACCAGTTTTCCCCTCCCTTTCCCTATTTTCAATGATTCCTTTCTCAGGGACCTGTCTTCCCATCTTCCAAACCTGCATATGGTGCCTCATCCTAAAAGCAAACAAAATCCAGTCAAGGACAAGCCCATTCTCCTCCCAGCCTTACTGCCTGGAGCTGCTGTCGGCTTCTTCCCGACATGGACAGAACCTTTTTATTTTCCTCCCCTTTTTTCCTGACTGATTGGTTGAAGGTGAATCTCCTCTCCCATGTCCCTTTCGCATCTGCCGTGTCTGCCCTGGTTAAGCCGCTGCAGTCTAGGTGTGCCGTTCAACAGACCCGTTCTCTAAAGGACTAGCCGTCACCTCCCAGGAGGCAGGTTTCTTTGGCCAATTTTCCTGTTTGATCCCCCCCAACAATTACTATTCGGTGCTGTTGGTGATTCCTCTTTTCTAGAAATGCCCTACTGTTTGTTCTCTGATGTTGAACTTTCCTGATTTTTTCCCTGATGTTCCTTCTAAGCTTCCTCTTTTCCCCTCTTGCCTCTTAAATGTATGTGTTCCCAAAGAACTGTGCTGAGTCTGTTTCACTGAAGCTTATTTATCCTATGGCTTCAGAGTCGTATTTTGAAGCTGTCTCAATCTCCTTCCTCCCATTCCTTAACCCACTCTTGGCCCCTTCATTCCACTGAGTGACCCCCAAGTTGAAAAATCCAAAGGACTCTTCCAGCCCTCCTTTTTCTTGACTTCTCAGCAGATTTAACTGTGGACCGTTCTGCTCCATTCCTCTCGATTCCCTGATACATCACTCCTGCATGTCTTTGCATCTTTCTGGCATCTTCCTTGCTCCTAGGCGAGTCCTTCCTTTTCTGCCCAAATAGTAAACGTTCGAGCTCCTCAGAGACTCTGTCTTCCCACTCAGAACTCGCTTCCAGCCTCAATCACCTGGATATGGAAGACTCCCAAATGCTGACCTCCCACCGACACTTCGAGTTCCAGACGCATGTACGCACTGTTCAGTATTAGTCCTGTAATAACCATTTCTAATCATTCTTACCGGAGGTTGGGCATACATAAGGAATTGGTATTATTTACACAACTAAGGTTATTAATTTAACAAGCATGGAACACTGGTTTTTAGAACAGAAACAAACGGTTTCCAAGGATTTCACTGTTTTAACTGTCCAGTACCACAGCTGGTGTGTATAATAATGACCCTCATTTTACAAGAACACATTCTAATTGGTAAAGTCTGTTTTTTATGGCAAGAACGTTTATAGTTTAGAAAGATTTTTATCCAAAATAGTTAAAAAATTTTTTCGTAAGTTTTTGGTATTTATCCCCAATGATGTAACCTTTGGACGAAATTGGATAAGTGAGGTCCTGCTGAATGTTGTCCCAGAAAAAATTGGCACTGCCTGTACAGGAGACCGGATGGATATTTCCTGAATTTCCTTCGAAGGATTACAGATGATGATCCCTATTTAAGAGTGTAAATCGGTTCATATTCTACTCTGTACTGCCAGCCATCAAGCAGTAAAAATATTTTGCTTGGAATTTCAGCAGACTACTTGAAATTTGTCAGAAAAAAGTACAAAAAGAAATCTATCCCTCAAGTATTATTTTAACATACAGCTTCATATATGATATAAAGTGGACTGCTCTACCTTTTTAACAGTTTAAATCCTGATCATTAGACTTTTAACAGATGGGTCACTGCTGAGAAGATAAATGTGGTCAGACAGACAACAATAAAAATCGTCCAGAGGCTTTACAGTGCTGACTGCTGGGAAGAATCCATCAAACACAGTAAAACACAGGAGGGCCTGAGCCATTTTCTACAATGACAGTGACTCGAGGATTTCACGCACCTGCGGTGGGGGAGTTTGCGTGGTGAGACTTCTTGGGCAGGTTGAAGATCTGTTCGCCGGGGTCGGGAGGAGGAATTGCATCTTGCCCTTGTCGTGCTTCTACGGGGTCATACTCCTTCCCGTCGTAGTTAGCATCGTAGAACTTCTTAAACCACTGAATAAAATCCAGGTTGTCCTGGAAGCGCCCTTTCACTAGCTTCTCCACTGGAATTACCTGCGATGTAAAAGCAGCGTGTGAGGCACCATCCCCAGGTGTGTTTGCCTTTAACACCACTGAAGCGCTCCCCAAATCTACTTCCTGCGTGTCTGTAGTTCACGACGCCTGGCCTCTCCCCCAGCATCTTAGCCAGGGTATTCTAGAATTCATGTATTTTTCAGTATAACAGAAAAATTAAATTAAAACATTGTAGTTGGTTCTCTTAGACTATTTAATACTTTTAATACAAAGCAAGTAATACCCTCAGCTGTCAAGAGGGAGGCTGACCCTCTTCATAGAATTTTTTTTTCATAGAATGTTTATTGCCAAAGCACCCTCCCTTAAAAACATGGATCTGGGATGCCGTGCTGTTTCAAGACTGATGGGTTTTCCTTATTTCTTTGTAACATTCTGTCCAGTTACGCTGGGATAAGCTCTTAAAAGGACTGTAGCCGCTAGAGAGTGTGAATGAATAAAGACTTGAAACCAGCGCAAACACATACTAATCTAATGGTTCATATGAAACAAAATGGGCTTTTTTATAATGTAGAGATCAGCATAAAAACACCTAACCACAACACAGGGCCCGGCAGCTCACGGGCTGCACAGGAGCAAGCTGGTGTGCCGTGGGGTGTGGAGGAAGGGAAACGGAGTCTGATTAGGGGAGTCACAGAAGGCATTCAGGTGGAGGGCGCGCTGGGCATCAACTTCTGAGTCGAGAATCTCGTAACCTTTCCTCCTGGCAACCTAAAGAGCCAATCAGCGTTCCCTTTAGAGGTCTTTTCATCGTACTAAATATTTTCATGTTTTCTGATTTGCAAGTTTGGTTTCTGCTGATACTGTTTTAGAAAGCGCCTTCTTAGAGCAGACGGCCCCTTGATTCACATGCCGCTATACTCTGCCTTCTGCCAAACGTGAAGGTTTGTAAACAGTTTTAGATGAGGATGCTACGTTAGCCGATCAAAGCAGGCACTTCCTTCTGCTGACTTCATTTTGCATCCCCTATCAAAAGGAAAGTTCCAGGGTCCTAAGTTCAAAATCTTAAATGACAAGAAAATCATCTGCCCAGAAGCTTCCCATGTGCTGTCACAGGCTATAACAAACATGAACAGGGACCACTTTCTCTATACCAGGACCTTTGGGTAGAATTATCGCATATTAAGCTAGGGAGGCCAACAAAGGTCACCAAGGTCAGTGTCCCTCCAGTACCAGACTTTTATCTTCAACATTTCTAACAATGGCTAACCCACTCCCTGTGTGCATACTTCTATGGAGATATGGAGCCCCCGACTTGGTTACACAGCAAGTTCTATCAGTAAACTTACGAATGGATGTTTCTTTCCTTTTTGATGTAGAAGCGTGTATAGAGAAATGATATAGAAACATACAGAGAAGTGATGTGGCTCTTAAGCAAAGGGAACCTACACAGCGCTGGTTCTGGATAAATAAGGAAGGAGCCGACTGGAAATTAACCACAGCAGAGGACATAAAGTTGAAAAGGATCAAAAGGTTAAAATGTTAAAGAGAACACATGTTTCGAAATAAAAATCCTGAGAAAGTGAGCAGCCAAGAGTTTCTTAATATTTTGATAAGAATGCTTTGGTTTAGGAAGATATTAATTGCATTAAATTAAAAAAATATATACAGTTCAGCACACCTCTCTTTTCCTTTAACCTCTATCTCTTATAACCCAATATTTATTTTTTTATTTCCATGGCTTATTTATTGCTACTATTCATGCAAAGAAAAGTATTCCATTTCTCCCTTGCTGGTTTTTCTCTTTTCTCCTATTCAAAATGCATTTCTTTCAACATATCCCCTTCAAGAGCTATATCCTAAATAAAGACTATGAATTTATTATGTATTTTAAGAGCAGGAAACATGCAGAGACTGAATGGGCTTCAGCAATAGTCCTTTATGGAGGGAAAAAAGGACTCTAGTCTAACTCCATCTGTATCATTCTAGGACAAAATTATAAAATTCAAGGGAGGGAAAAGAACATTTTACAGACACCGAATGAGAATCTGAGTGTATACATTGGACACTGACACGCAGTCCCTCACTTTAACTTCATAACCACAAGGAAGGGGGTTTTAGTCCCATTTTACAGATGAGTAAACTCAGACTCAAAGAATTTAAATAACTTGCACAAGTCATAATGCTGGGATTCAAACCCATGCCATTTCTACTGTAATACACCGTTTCTTCAAATAAACAAAACACACAAAGAACCACAGTGGCATCTGGCAAACATAAAAATTTCTCAGCTGTAATGCTAATATGGAATAACAACATTTTAACATTCATCATTTCTGTTAGTTTTTAGTCCAATGGCTACAAGTTTAGAAAACTCATTAAATAAAAACCTCATCCAAATATGGGAAGCGAGGGTTGATGCTTTATACTATGGACAGAACCCAACCTACTGTGGCGATAACCAGATATATCCCATTGATAACGTTTTTGGATTTTTTGTATTTCTGCATGAAAACAATTTTAAGCAAAGACAACGCATTTCATGGAGGTAGAAGTTAGTCTCCTACCTTATCCACGTTCATTCGCTTAAACGACGCTTGCAGAAGCTTAAAGTTGTGAATGTACTCGTGCTCCAACTTTGCTTGAAATTTTACTTTCTTCAAACTGATGCAGCCTGGAAAGAGCATGTCCATGAACTGGCAGTAGGCGGCTCCTGGAAAGAGACAAGAACAAGGATGGTGTTGAGTGTGGCTGCACCACGTGCGGCTGAGGATTGCCTGCTGGGCAGGAGGGAGCTCTCAGCCCTCAGCCCTCCTGGCCACGTGTACTCCCCTCCTCAGTGCATTTACACCTCCTTGTCCAGCAGGGCTGGGCGCTGGAGGGCAAGGACAGTGCCTTCATGCAGTTCCTGCCACATCGCCATCCCTAACCACTGTAGAACTGACACTGTTCACCAGAGCATCACCAGATTCCACGAACAATGAACAGAACTTCATTCTTTAACACCAAGGAAATCAGAGTGAGAACAACTCTTCTTAACTTCTAGCACAAAAAAAAAGGAACACATTTTCCTTTCCATTGAGCTGCTTCCCACTCCAAATCATTAAAACATTAAGAGAAAAAGAGCAGAAAATGTCAACATGAGAAAACTACAAAAGTTCTCATGAAATATGGAGCTCAAAAAAAAAAAAACACGTATGCTACCCAAGCTGTTTTATATCCATCTTGCAAAATGACTTAGGTGAAACTAACTAAACTTTTTATTACCAAAAACAGTTCTATACCAATTTAACTCCAGTCCAGAGCAATGGGGTTCCTATATTAACGTGAAGGCTGGAGACATGGAGATTCTGAAACTTATGGAAGTTCAGAGCCATGCCATTCATGACTGAGAAATAAAAACAACAGAAATGTTCAATGAGTTCCCCAAGGAAATGGTCATAGGAAAGGGACATTATTAGTAAATCTTTCATACACATATATATATATATTTGTGTGTGTGTGTATGTGTGTGAGGAACTCTTACATCATGACAATTTCAACTAGAAAACCCCAGAAAGATCATACATACTGATTCATATCTTCTTAATAGTAAAGACTAAAGACATTTAGAAAAAGAAACTTAAAACCAGAATAATTTTCCTTTGACAAGGAAGAAAAGCAATTGAGTGGTAAGACTGGGAACAGTCTCTTTCCTTCTTCGCGTCTTCATACCTCTTGGTCTGTTTCTGTAATGTGCCAATGACATGCCTTTCTGAACATAAAGGGCTCCCCTCCTTCTTATGGTATCAAGTGGTATCTGTGAGAAATCTTTCATTCCATTCAGACGACCCACCTTTACATACGAAGAACCCACTCGGTCCTTATGTCAAATAGATGTCGAGCATCCTTGACTGACATAGGAACCCAAAAGAGGGAAGAAGGTATCAAGGAGGTAAGGGCTGCGAGAACAGGAAATGGTGGGGCAACTCACTGTTTGTAGGGAAGAGCATAAACTGATGAAATACAGGCCACAATAAATATCACCCCCAGACTCTTGGCATCTACGATGCTTCCCTTAGATGCCAATACCCTGAGTACAAACTGGTACTTTTGCAGTCAAGCAGATGGGTTCTCTTAAAAACAAGACAAAATAAAGCACACCAAAACAAAAAACACTGGGGGAGGTAAGAGAAGCATCATGATCCTGGGGTGGGGGG